TTGTATTGTATTGTCTCATACGTGGAAGGTGCTTAAAAGGACCATAGATTTAGAGTTGGAAGAGATATTAGAGGCCACCAAATCCAACTCTCCCCTTTTACAGATAAGGAAACCAAGGCTTGAAAGACAGAAAGTGATTTGTTGAATGTAATGCAGCTAATCAATGTCTGCAGCAGGATTTGAGTGAGGGTTTCCTGATTTTTAAGCCCAGAGCTCTATCTATGTATAACATCTATCCACTGTCAATCATAAATCATAAATGTTTGTTGAATTGAATTAAATAACTTCATCAATTTTTGTTTTTGTTTTGCAGAAGTAGGAGATTATGGGTATAGGACATTGCATAGAATGCTAGATATGGATGAGGTACTGGTTTGCTTTGCTGGACTATTTACTTTCTTTTATTTTGTCACAAGGGAAAAAATTAGAAAATTAAGGTAATAGAAAAATATAATATGTTAATAAAATGAAGAAAATGAAAAAAGAAAATAATTAAATTTATCATAGAAAAAGTTAATATTGTGCACTTTTTTTTAGAAGACATACCTCATTAATAAGCTTATCCCTATTAGTTGGGGAAATAAGAAGATAGAATGAACTATACTACTTGGTTCAAGATGCATACACAATTTGCAGTATTTCTGGAAGATAGGGGAAGTTAATTTTAGTGCAAAATCAATTCCTAACATTGTATATTAAAGATCCAGGAGATTATACAGAGAGGGGAAAAATTGATTCTGAGTCATAATTAATCATGTATATTGTTAGAATGTGAGCAGCCTGTTTTCTAAATATCCAGTGTGTCCATGAACGGAACTACCTAATCTCATGTTAAATTCCTGACTACAAGATACATGAATGAAAGCACTGGTCTTGGAGTGAAAAGGTCTGGTTCCAGCACTAGCTATTTGATTCTGGAAGTCTTCTATCAGTTTATAGATCTAAAGGTATTTATTTCATGTAAATGTATTTATGTATCTGTATCTCCTCTTAGATTAGAACATAAGCTCTTTGACTACAGAAAGTTTCATTTTTGTCTTTTTGTTTCTAGCGCCTACCTAGCACAATACTTGACACATAGTAAGGTCTTTAAAAATGCTGGTTGATTGGTTGCATATGCAAGCAACCTTCTATTGCATACCAGCTGTTGCATGAACTCTAAGAGGAAGCTCACCACCCACTGGAGAAGTCCATTCCATTTTCGGATAGCTCTAATTGTTAGGAAGTCACAGCCCTGCTTTGCCCCAGCTCCTCCACCAGCACCCCGCCCCCACCCCAGCTTCCATTTCAAGCCTAAATCTGCTTCCTTGAAGCTTTCACCCACTGTTCCTGGTTCTGCCTTTTAGGTACAACCTAGAGAGTAAGCTAATCTATGTTCTCTAAGACAGCTATTGTATCAGAGATGGTTTGAAAACTGTACCTATGTTCCAATGTAGGGATGTAAGAGGGAATGTTATGGGGATAATTAACAATGGGGAGGCAGGGAGTTTTCCAAAGCTGTTATCTAAATGCCAAGTAGTTTAGTCCCACCTTACCAACACTGGTTACTAATCTAATCCAGACTCTGAATAGCAGGGACTTGACAAGGCCGGTCATTTTTTTGTAAGTTCTTTCAAATTGTCCAAATATAAAGAGGTAATTGGCTTTTTATTATTTTTAACTTGTGGAATTAATTATTAATTTATGGAATAAAATGAGTATTTCTGTAACATGGTATAATTTAATTTTTATTTTATTTTTTAGGCAATTAGGGTTAAGTGACTTGCTCAGGGTCATACAGCTAGTAAGTAACAAGTGTTTGGTCTGAGGCCAGATTTGAACACAGGTCCTCCTGACTTCAGGGCTGGTGCTCTATCCACTGTACCACCTAGTTGCTCCCAACATGGTATAATATTTTAAAAACAGATAACTGTGTGTGAAACTGCAAGTCTATTATAAACTGTTACTTAGAAAATGTAAAAGTGCAAAATTTTCTTCTTAAGCCAATGACATCAGGAATTTCAAGTATGGTTCTTTCACCTTTCTAGTGAATGGTATCTATTCAACAAAGATGGAACACCATTTATGCACAGATTCAACACAGCACCTGCCTTGAAAGATCTCATGAAGGAAAGGAAGATAATAAAGATGGACTCACAGAATAATGATACAAAAGACTGCAAGATAATTACAAAAGACAGGTTCAAAATTTTCTATAGAGATAACTTCCAGCTGGAGCAGCAGAGCATTGAAACATGAGCACATGGACATGCCGTCTTCCAATGCCATGGCTTTTCACTGGCTGTCCTCCTCTCTGCCTTGTAGCTTCCTTGATTTCCTTTAAGCCTCAGATTAAATCTATCTTCTGCAAGAGGCCATTCTCTCTGCCCCTCTCCAATCTCTACCCTAAACACTGCCATTGTAGTGCCTTCCCTTCAAGATCTGTATGTTTAGCTGTTTGCACATTGACTCCCTCATTGGAACGTAAGCTCCTTGAGGACAGATAAAGTATACCTGCCTTTCTTTGCAACATGCTTAACACAGAACCTGGCACATAGGAAGGGCTTAATAAATGCTCGTTGACTTAACAATTGAAAGACTTCTTGAAAGAGACATCATCTGAGTCAGGTCTTGAAGGACTTCAATGTCTAGAAATTGGTGAAAAGTCTATTCCAGAGATGGGGGAATGGATAAGCAAGAACATGGAAATAATTTCTTCTACATGTAGTCCTTCCTGATCCTTCCAAGTGCTACTTTCCTCCCTCAAAACTACCTTATATTTAAATACTTTGTATGTATTTATATTTATTCTCTGTATGCTTATGTATGTGGATGTGTTATCTCTTTCATTAGAAATAAGTTCCTTGAGAGTAAGTATTGTTTTATTCATTATATTTGGATAAAGTTTGGCAGAACAAAAAACAATTGCAATAGACAGTAACTGCAACTTTTATCTAATTTTATACCCTAGGAGCTTTTACATGATGCACAGAGAATTCATCAATATTATCCAAGAGATCTCAAACCATTTGATCAAATGTGACCCAGAAGCTGCATTCCTACTCCTTAGGATGATTCTCACAAAACAAACTTGGGCCATGGAAACAGTCAAATAGTCCAGAGAAGGGACATCCAGGAAGAGAAGATCAAAGGAAAGTACTGCATTTTTAAGCCTCAGTTCAGGCTACATACTAATAACAATGATCAGGGTAAATAATGAGGCAGGAGTGCAGGCAGTCAGGCAAGATTGAAAGATTAGGCAGGTATCAAAGATCAGAGCTGGCAATAGCTCAGGGAGAGAGAAGGACAATTAGAGTAATATTAGTCAGAAGGCAGGCAAAGATTCTGAATGATGTATCTCCACTTAGAGGACTGCTGGCCAGAAATTCTTTGGTACTGAACTGAACTTTTGCCTCAGCAAGAGAATTGGTATGCTTTTCCTTTGGTGTAGAGACCGATCTCCAAGCACAGTGACCCTGAGAACTACAGATGAGAGTGGATAGAGGGATCTGCGTGGCAGAGCCTCACAGTAAAAGCATTCAGAAAGCCTTGTACAGAAGCATGTCTAATCTGTATACTTTGCTTCCTGTGAACAACTTGTTGAAGTCTGATCTATTTGGACAATGATTTAAGACCTGCTTCTTTTCTAAGTCTTCTTCCAAATACAGACGCAAGAAAACAACCATGAATCTCTTGATTGCTTGTGCTTATACAGCCAATCTTGGAGCTAGCTGACTAGGAATGCTTTTCATTTTTCTTATAGATAATAAATTATATTTAATGTGTACTCCAAGTCTCCAAGCTATGGATAGTTCTTAATTTTCAAAGAAAAAGGGATGGATAATCTAATCTAAGCACTTTATTTTATACCTAAATTTCAATCATTTTTCTCATCAAATCTGTTTGCCAGGGCTATTTAGAAGTAGCAGAATTGAGTGGTCTGGCCATTAACTTATCTTTCCTTTCAAATATTGACTTTTAAAATTATCACTGGACCAAATGGCATAAAGGGTAAAGAGGAGAATTAAACAACAGGACTACCTACAAACTAAATAATCAATCCTTAAATACTCCAGAGTTTCACATTTTAAAAGGAGGTAAGGAGAAGGAACAAGTATTTATTAAGAGCCTACTACATGTCAGACACTATACTAAACACTTTACAAATATCTCATTTTATCTTCGTGACAACCCAGAGAGGTAGTGCTATTATTATCCCTATTTTACAGTTGAGGAAACTGAGGTAGATAGATGTTAAGTGACTTGCCCAGGTTCATAAAGGTAGTAAGCATCTAGGGCTAGATTTGAACTCAGGTCTTCTTGACTCCAGGCCCTGTACTCTAACCACTGTGTCACTTAGTTGACTTTCAAAGTAAAATCATTTAAGTGTATCACTAAATTATTGTATATGCAATTTCCATTAACAACAAAAGTAGAGAAAAATATCATCATTCAATATGAAGCAGTTATATTACTTATGTCATTTTGAAAGAAGCTTGATATAATTAGAAAGGAAACCTTTTTTTGTTCAATGTGATTTGTTCAAGGTTCAATTTTAAAGGTCTTTTCCCCTTCACTTTTGTAATTCGTGGTATGATTTCTAAGTAGTTCAGCAAACTTATTTGCATCCAAGAGATGCTAAATTTTGTGCTATTGTAAATAAAAATAATAAGCATTCACATAGTGCTTTAAGGTTCATAAAGCGTTTTACAAATGTTAATTTTATATTTGAAAAGTCACATATACTGAATTGCTAGAATGTGATGATTTGAATCCACTATTCATTGGTCACACGACCAACTGAACTGAGAAAGCTAAACGAAACTAAAAATGAAATCATTATATACATAAGGAAATGAAACTATACAAAATTATAATTCCAGTGATAAGATCTTAGGGCTGCCATATTGATTCTTCTAAAAGAATTAGCTTCAATAGTCATGTTAAAAGACAAGTAAAAAACAAAGCAAGACACAGATTCAACTTTCAAAACATTCAATTCTTTCAAAAAGACTTAATACCTGTTGTTTCCAAACTCAGTGGTCTTGACTCTAGCCCTGCTGTCATAAATAAAATGTTGCTGGGTAATGCCTATCATATTGTGAACTGTTCCATTTCCCAAGATGGTGATGACAGGATAACCCATCTGGAGAGTCCATTGATCCATTACTTCTTGAATATTTACATATTTTCCATTCTTTCTTAAAGCCTATAAAAACCAAGATTTAAAAAGCTAATTTATTAAAGCAATATTAACAATTAGCCATTGTTAAATGTTTACCTTTACAAAGTACACTTGAAATTCAAAATCAGTGATGCCAACATGTATGAGTAAAATTAATTTCCTTTAACCTAAGGGAAGGCTTTCTGCCCATCTCAGGCATAAAATGACTTTGTGAACGTTAATGTTTTAATGTAATGGAAGATAAAACAGAAATTTTATTGTTGGAGCAAGGAGGACCTAGAGTTTCACTGTTAAGTAACTTCAGTCTGTCTAATAGAGCCTGAAACATTTGCCACTCACATATAGGATTGTGTCCGATTTTGAAACTTCCAACAGTTTTGCCTTTAATATGACAGGTACTTCCATACCAAAATCCCATTTCAATGGAAATATGGTCACCTTGATGGCAAAGGTAACTATATTACTGTGGGTATTTTGAGTACAGAGGGCATGGGTAGCATTAAGTGTCCTGGCCAGAGGTCATTTACATAGTAAACAAACAATAAAGTCTGCCTCAGGAAAAGGGAAGCAGAAACAGTAAAGGGTACTAGCAGTCCAATTAAAATTATATAGCAGCGTCTCTCCTTAACATCACACACACACACACACACACACACACACACACACACACACACACACAAGAATACAAAGGGAAGGTCTGGTACGCCATAAGCAAAATATACTTTACCTCTGACAGTGTATCCCACAGATCATTTCTGGCTGCATTGCCATATTTATGAATGGTTAAATAATCCTAAAAGAATATAAATCAGTAATTACAATTCACAGTCCAAATAATTACTGACTCAACAACTGAAACTCATTTCTGAATTTGATTAACTATCTCCATTTGTAGGAATTGCATTAATACAAAGAGGGAGACACTGAGATACTGATGATACTTTCTAAAGAGATTAAAATTACCAATTAAAATGTTACTGAGATTCACCTATACCATGGTTTAAATTAATTCATCACATAATACTAATTGTTTAAAAAAATGTGGGCAAGGAAGACCATAATTTCTTCTAGACACATTAGCCTGCTTACTATTCTCCACATACCACATTTTACCTGCCATTTTTCTCCCTTTGTACAAGCTGTCCCCTGTTGCTGGTATGCATTCCTTCCTCGCATCTAATTCATAGACTTCAAAGCCCAAACCAAGGGCCAGCTCCTACAGAAAACTTACCAAAACACATGCAATATGCACTTTATTACATTCCAGGCACTGTGCCAAGCTACCCTGAAACTCCACTTTGCTAATGCCTTTCTGTCAGAAATTACCTTGTATATATTTGTATTTAATCATCTATATACATGCAATCATCCCTCCACTTCCCCCAATAGAATATAAACTACTTAAGGGCCAGGGATTTCTTAGATTTTGTTTTGCTTTTGTTTTGTTTTTCTTTGCATCCTCAATACCTAATAGAATGCCTGGCATGTGATAGGTTCCTCATAAATGCTTCTGGAATTAAAGGGAATTTAATTTGCCAGAGCTTAGTGCAGTCCTGGCACATAGTAGGCTCCTAATAAATGTTTATTGACTAATTCCTAAAAGAAAAAATCCCTAGTGAAATCTCTTCCTTTGTTGCAGTGGGTCAACCTATAGCTGATGTAAGGAACCTGTTGGCTCTATAGAAAAACTGCATCTGCTCTGAAATCCTTAAGGGAAAAATAAAGAGCCCATCTGCCTCTCATCTTGAAGCTTCAGAGAAAAGTATTTTCCTTAGTAGAACGGAGAAGAGAGAACTCAATCATCTGCAATATATTAAAATATTTTTCTTTATGAGACATTAACAGATATCTATATCCCCAGGAAATGGGGAAGCTAAGACGAAATAGCATGTCTTTCTCACTCTGTGTGTATGTGGTTTACTACTAGAATCCCTGGGTCACAGGCTTTGTCCAATTGTGACCTGGTTGGAAGTTTATTCAGCTCTAGATTATATGACTGATTCTCCACTGCTCTCCTTTCAGCCACCAAAGAACTGGAGGGGGGACTGGAGGGAGGGGGGACTTTCCCAAAGGTGTGAGTACCATCTCTACATTGGCTCGGAAGTCTCTGAGCCTTTCTGCAGAGGACAGGCTGCCTATTATAAAAATGATGTGCATTTACTTCCATAGCTATGGCCTACAAACTAATATCCAATAAAGAAACTCAGTGCTGAGGTTGTTTTATATGCAGCCCCTATTTGGGGCTGGGACCTCCCAGCCCTCATTTTTAACCATTAAGCCTATTACACTCTGCAATATCAGTACCATCTCTCCCCACTCTGTTTCTGCAGAGCCACCGTTTCTATCATTATGAATCTGGCGTTTAGTTGTGGCTATTGGATATACAATTCTCTGACTTCAAAGGGAAGAAGGAAATTGGAAATAGTATATTTGATTATAAATCAGAGGTCTCTGCTTCTTTGGGGAATGTTCAACATCTCCCTCTACCCAGTGGCAGTAGACAAAATCTTCATTTACATGAAACTGGAGATGAAACTGGAAGAATTTCTTCTTAGTGGGGATTTGTGTAGCATGGGATATTTCTAGCATATTTCAAATTTGCTAAGTACATTTTCTGTCATACAAACTCTAGCACAGGAGGCAGATTCAGTCTTTGTCAATCACTCCTAGCACCACAAGGAGTAGTTCTCATTTCATCACAGGCTGGAGAAACCAACTCCCAATGCTGACTTGGGCAACTGTCCATGTCTCGGCTGAGCAATGTCAGAAAAATAGCATTGTGAGGGAAAAGACAATACCATAGAAAGGATCCAAGTCTCTATTTAGAATACAGAAATGACACATGAAAAGAATTTAACTATTTTCCTGAATTATTTATTAGTCTACTTTCCTTCTACTGATCTTTATTTTGCCATTTACATAATCAGAGCTTAAGAAATAATGGGTTCATGGAGCATTTGCTTATAGTAGGGGTTTTATACTTGCGTTGTGTCATGGCCCCCTTTGGCAGGGATGGGGAGAGGAAAGGAGAAGAGGAAAGGAGAGAAGGTAAGAGGAGGGGAGGGGAAGGAATGGAGGGGAAGGAAGAGGAAAGCCTAAATTCACAGGTAACTGCTAACTCTTTAAGAAAAAGACACAATTTTAACATTCTTTCATAGTGGAGATCAGAATCCTTGATTATCAGATCCAGAGAAGTTATTTCCATTAATTTAAATTTAATCTTTCCTTCCAAATGCACTAATTAATTTTAACTCTATAGTCATTTCTTGATTAAATCAAACTCTCCTAAAAATAAAACTTGAAATGAATATGTGTACTTTTCTTATAAGGAAATAACCTAGAACATGGCAATGGATGGTACTCATTACACTGATGACAATGTGCTATTCTGAATTGTTAAGTAATACCGATGGCAACAAATACTATTTTACATAATGTTATTATATACTTGAAGGCTAAATATACAAACACCAAGCAGAGCTAGTATGGAATAGTGCAAGTGGATAGAGAAATGTCTTTAAAGTTACGATGACCCTGGTTCAAGAACCACCTCTGACACATAATGAGTTTGTGACCCTGGGCAGGTTACAACTTCTCAGTGCCCCAAGTCACTCTCTAAAACCGTAGGCTAATGGGAACTGGTAAAAGATGTTTCTTCACCTGGGAATTCCGTATACTAGTGAAAGAACAGATCCAGTCTCTATATCTCTTAAAGGTAATTTACTTCACTAATTGAAGCTCTGGATAGAGTGCTGGGCTAGAAGTCAGAAAGAACTGAGTTCAAATATAGTCTGTTTACTAGCTGTGTGACCCTAGGCAAGTTACTTCACCTCTTTTGCCTCAGTTTCCTTATCTACAAAATGGGAATAACAGGAGCACCTACATGGCAGGCTTGTTGTGAGGATAAAATGAGAACATATATATACAAGTTCATAGCACAATGCCTGGCACACAGTTAAGTGCTAAATAAATGCTTATTCCTTCTCACCTCTCCCACACTTGTCATAGAGGGCCACTATTTAGGTTAAACATTGAAAAAAAACCTTACAAGAATTAATACATATTAATATATAATATATTTATTAATTAATAAATATTATATATTAATTCCTATAGGGCCACTATTTAGGTTAAACATTGAAAAAAACCCTACAGGAATTAATATCTATCTATCTATCCATATCTATCTATCTATCTAGATAGATAGATATATATAGGAACATATCTCAGAGATTATCTAACCCCCTCATTTCCCAGAATGGAGGCTCTGAGAGGTTAAGTAACTTGTCCAAAGTCATATACAGAGAAAGCAGTGGAGTTGGGATTTCAATAAAGGTCCTTTAACTCATAATCTAGCATTCTTTCCCAGAACACCATGCTGCTTCCTATTGTGTACCTCAGACAGATGGTTTACTTTCTCATTTATATGTCCAATATATCATTACAAATTTGAAAACTCACTGGCCATGACAAAGTACACAACACCCATACATATTCATGTGTAAATATATATGAGTGTATATATATGTAGGTATGTGAAAATACATATGTGTGTATGTTTATAATGTGAACGGGGGCCTGTAGGTGCCATGTCGTCAATGGAGCCCAGGTTAACATAGGATCCTTATATTCTAACACAGGTAACTGCACATTTTCATTGCTAATAATCCTTCTCTTGCTTTGGCCGTCATTAACTTCAGGTCATCAGAATTTCATGAGCACCAACCAATAATAATGATATCCTCTCCACACCTCATTGCCTTGCATTGATTTGCATAAGCAATTTCTACCCTGATAATTGGAGCCAAACATATCATGTTGTAGGTTACCTTATGGAAAACAGCAGTTAAATAGTAATCAAGAGAAGTTTATCCTTATCCAACTCTAATCCTAGCTGAGCTTGAATTTACACCGTAGTATGAACAGGAAGGTGATTCACTTCATCACTTTCAAATGTGGACTTAATTGTTTGAGTTTACATTAAATGTTAAGAATAGTCTTTTTTTTCATAATTTCATTTCCCTGCTGTTGACTCATAACAACATGAATAATGTTACTAGGTTCAAATCATTAAAACAATATTGTTTTGTTTTAAAAAGAAAAGGCAATAGTCCTACATGCTAATTATTGTTTTAATAGCTACTGAACCAATCAATGTTATCTGAGGGATTCATAATTGTAGCATTATATTATTATTGCAGGAATAGTAAGTGGAAAGGAAAAAGGTAATTACCAGGCATCTAACATGTAGAAATGAAACAAAAAGAGTCTAAGCTATTAAAAATTTTCAATCCAAGAGACTGAACACTTGAATTATTTTTAAGAATAAGCTTAGTATCTGAAAAACCCAAAGATCCCAGCTACTGGGTTAAGAACTCATTATCTGGTCAAAATTCCTGGGAAAATTGGACAGCACTATGACAGAAATGGGATTCAGACCAATACCTCACATCTTATACTAAGATAAGCTCCAAATAATCTGAACTAGACATAAATTGTCACATTACAAAAAAAAAATTGGAGGAACAAAGAAGAAATTGCCTTTCAAATTTATGGATAGGAAGAAAGTTCATGACCAAACAAGAGAAAGACAACATCAAAGAAGATAAAATGGAAATTTTTAAGTACATAAAATTAATGTTTTTACACAAACTAATCCAATATAGCTAAGGTTAGAAGAGAATCAGTTAAGTGAGGGGAAAAAATTTGCAACAAGTTTCTTTGATAAAAGTATCATTTCCAAGATATCTGAAAAACTGATTAGAATTTTTTAAAAATGAACATCATGCCCCA